GGGGGGGCAGTGTCCCAGCAGGAGCTGATCAATGCTCACATCCTGTGAACCCTGCATGAAGCACAGCAGAGTGTTCCCAACACACAGACACACACACCAACGCAGCAGAGGGGCGAGGACGGCCCGATGGGGTCCCGATAGAAGCAGGACGTCCGGACCAAACATCTCCATGGGGTAAAAAAACAAACAAGGAGACGCCGCCATCACCCGTGATTCATCAACACGACGGCGTGCACGATGAAGGACGGGCCAACCTGTGACATATGAGGTGACGTTTGCATGTTTTTTGTGTCACGGCTGATTGTGAATGTGTTAGTTCACGTGAAGATTTTAAAAAACATGAAAAACAGGAGATCTGATGAAWGTTTTTAAGGTTTTCTGTCAGTCAGCAGCTTCATGGTTAAATTATTGACCCTGTCATCCTCTTTCCAAACAAACCCAGCACTACGAGGGCCCCGAGGGGCCAAAACACCAAAGCAATAAAAACAACGGCAAAACAAAATACTTTATTTACCATCTCTGAAACGCTACTGGTTCTGTTRAGAAATCAGGACATGTTTGGAACAGAACCCTACAAGTCCTAGTTGGTTTTACAGTTGGCTCTCCTCTTAATGGAAGTCTGGATTGTGTCCAACAGAGGCACCAGCAGAGGTTCTGATGGGTCTTTTGGGTGGTTACATATTAAAGGTGTTTTTGAGGGTCACAGTGGGGCGGAGCTTGTCCCAGGGTTAAACCCGGACAAGTCACCGGGTCAACGCCCGGGGCAGTTTAGACACTCCGGTTAACTCAACCTGCATGTTTTTGGAAAAGATTTAGCTTAACGTTACTGCAGGAATGAAACACTCGTTAAAGTTTGGTTTCCMGTTCRAACAAATGCGGCACCGTCGAGTCTAACGAGTCGCTTCTGTGTCTCCTCAGTTCAAGTATGTGGCAGTGAAGCGGTGAAAGGCTGACCATGGGGGACTGGAACCTGCTGGGCAGCATYCTAGAAGAGGTCCACATCCATTCCACCATCGTGGGGAAGGTCTGGCTCACCATCCTCTTCATCTTCCGCATGCTGATCCTGGGAGCGGCCGCCGAGGACGTCTGGGACGACGAGCAGTCCGAGTTCGTCTGCAACACGGACCAGCCGGGCTGCAAGACGGTCTGCTACGACCGAGCCTTCCCCATCTCCCTCATCCGCTTCTGGGTGCTGCAGGTCATCTTCGTGTCCGCGCCCTCGCTCGTCTACATGGGCCACGCCCTCTACTGCATCCGGACGCTGGAGAAGGAGCGCCACCGGCGGCGCATCCAGCTGAAGGAGGAGCTGGACGAGACGGAGCAGGCGCTGGAGGACCACAAGCGCTTGGAGAGGGAGCTGAGGAGGCTGGAGGAGCAGAAGAAGGTGAAGAAAGCTCCCCTGCGAGGCTCCCTGCTGAGAACCTACATCATCCATATCCTTACTCGCTCCGTGGTGGAGGTCTGCTTCATCCTGGGTCAGTGCGTCCTGTACGGGATCCACCTGGAGCCCCTGTACAAATGTGAGAGGCGTCCCTGCCCCAACAGCGTGGACTGCTACATCTCCAGGCCCACGGAGAAGACCATCTTCATGGTCTTCATGATCGTCATCGCCGGGGTGTCGCTTTTCCTGAACATCCTGGAGATACTCCACCTGGGTGTGCGTAGAATCAAACARATCCTGTACGGAGACAGGTACGCCGAGGACGACAGTTTGATCTACAGGTCCAAGAAGAAGGTCTCCTTGTCGCAGCTCTGCGTCATGAGCCACGTTTCGCCTCACAACGGGCCTTTGACTCAGACCTTCAAAGTCCTCCAGGAGGCAGACATGAAGCCTCTTCACTACGGCAGCGGGCTCAAAGCCGGCCACGAGCCAATGAGACACAACAGCTTGGCTCATCTGGGTCAGACCGGGTACACCTGCCCACAGGCAAGGATACCATTCAGGTCTGAGGACAGCTGCGCGACCCAGATCCACCAAAGAAGAGAGAGTCTAGAGGTCCACGCTGTGACGCTGGACCACCATCCAGGCTGGARCTCTGCCATGTCCACGGTCGAGGAGGACACGGCGAGCCAAGGAGAACTCCACGAGGAGGAGCGTTCTCAGCYGGGCCATCTGGACTCTCTGCTGCCCGGCAGCGCCCTGAGGCCCGGCGCCATCAGGGACCCCCTCAAAGACAACAGACGAGAGTCTACGATCAGCCAGTTCCAAAACCCCAACCCCAGGAGGACCAGCTTCATGACCAGGCCGCCGTCCGAGAGCCTGTCATCCATGACGGGGTCCACCAGCCCGTCCTTACACAGCTCCGAGGAGTCCGATGAGCTGTGCTCGCTGCAGGGAGACATGCCCATGATGCCGCCCGCCGGAGGCCGGAGGATGTCCATGGTAGGTACAGATCCTGGTCCGGATCATCTGAGAGCACTTCATCCTGCAGCAGAGCTTCTGTCAGKGCAGGAGCAGGATGTTTTCCATCATTTATACATAAAAACACACAGTTACAGTCTGTTGACCCACAGGGATGAAGTTGTCTTTGAGTCTGCGACATTCTGCTCCAAACGAGTCCAGCAGCAAAAATAAATAAAATATAAAAAATAAAAAAATTCACACAAAGAAAGTGATTTCTGTTGTTATAAAATCAGTGATGAGATCTGTTCAGACCAGAAACCTCCTCCAGAGTCTCAGGATAAGTTTATCAGATGAATGATGAAGATATTTTAAATTTAAGGAAACACGTTGTTCTTTGTTCCTTTATAACAAATTGGTTTAATTTCCTGAAGTCTCATCAACTGTTTGTGAATACACTCGGCTCTTTTCTTGATTTGTGGGGARATAAATCTCCTCACCTCTGCAGGGTTTGCGTTTTGGGATTGTGTTGAATTCATACAAACATTCCTTAATATTATGTCACTGGGCTGCGGAGAATCTCAGTATAATTTAAACAAAAGCTCATTTTAATGTCGCGGTCTCACTGAAGTCTTAGTTTGCAACCAGCGAGCAGTAAAGCCATGATTTGCACAGGGATTTATTTGCAGATTAAAGATTGCAAAACTGCWTTCTTGGCTGTGCACATTATTTCATTACTTGGCTCCGCCCACTTTGACCAGTTTTTATCTACTTTGGCAGCAGCCCCCATGATTTAATCCACTTGAGTGGACTTTTGAATTGAAGACAGGCAAAGTTTCACCTGAACATTCTGTGCTGTAAGCCTCTGTGTGACTATTCTTAGGGACTCAAAAAAAAGGCCGTTTTAAAAAAATCGTCCTCGCTGAACGCATCTTCACGGGTCGCTCACTGGGTTGTAAATCCTCAGAATTCAAAATCAGGTTTGACTCCAGTAGTTACAGGTCAGTTAGCTACTAGATCTTTCCCTGCAGCAGTCTGGTAACGAGTCGTGTTTCGAACTGGTCCAGGATGGTAAAACTCTGGAGATAAGAAGGTTGATCTGACAGCCAGGTGTCAGGTAACACACCTGTAGCATCACCCTGGTGCTTTTTGGAGTAACTTTAAAAACAAGCATGTTTATTTAGAACTAAAACCCTTTAACTGATCCTGTTCATCTCCACATTAAGTCTTCTACATCTCATCATGAGTTTCTTCCTTTCAGAGCATGTTCCTGGACATTTCCTCCATCATGAAGAAGTGAGGACCTGGGTTCTTCAGCAGCTCGGACCCAAACAGCAGAGAAACTGTATCAGTGATACGTCGATTCTCCGGGCGAGTCGCATGGGGTCAGGATCGATCGGGCAGCCGTGATGAGGCGGTCGACTCTCAGCCGCAGAGCAGCGAGTTTCAAAACGTCCCAGCGAGCGTTCGGCTGCCAAACGGAGGGTTTTATAAAATCAGAGACAAACTCCAGAGCAGGGGTGGGCAATCCTGGTCCTCGWGGGCCGCAGCCCTACAGGTTTTATGTTTTTCCCTGCTCCAACACACCTGATTCAGACATTAAATTACCTCTTCCAAGTTTTTTACAGTGTGGAGGACCCAAACTGACATAACTAATAAAAACAAAAAAGCAGAAACATATAAATGGACCAATGAATAAATTCAATAAAAAATGTGCCAATTAAAATAAAAAGGAGAGCTTTTTCTCACGTTTTATAATTTAAATGACCTTCATATTTATTTTTCCAATATATATGTGCAACAATACATCTACCCGCGAACAGTGTTTTAAGTTCAATACACACTTGTATCAAACAATACAGATTTTTAAAATTTACTTCATCAACATGTCTTCTGAAGATGCTCTGTGTTGAAGGATCAGTGGATCTGTGTTCGACTAATCCACCCAGGCAACATTTGATTTAAAAACTGTACTTTTGAGGTTAAACAAATGTTCATAATTAATTTAAATAAAGTACAAGTTAAAAGG